ATGGGACACAGTGAAATTCTACCACTGCCCGGTGCTTAGAGTGATCACCACCTTCAGGGGCCTACAGTGCGGCAGTTTTCAACCTTTTCATCTCATGGCACACATAAACTAATTGCAAAAATTCTGCGGCACACCAAAAAATATATTTTTTGCCGATCTGACAAAAAAAAAAGGTATAATTTTGATTCATTCACACCAGACGACTAGTATTCGCTGTTGTCATTTTTTTATTTGAGAATCTCAAGGTAAAGTATTGCAAGTTTTAGAAATTCTGTGGCACAACAGTTGAAAATCGCTGTCATAGAGGATGCCCAGTAAATGATTGCTGATGGAATGGATAGATGGGTGGGGGCGTCAAGTGTGATCTCTTCTGGTTTTTAAATGATTTTCTACTAGATTCTGGGATGTGAGTCTCCAACATCTCAGACGCTTCCATTGTGTATGGTTCAGCACTTGTGCAAACTGTTGACCTACTTTCAGTACCCTAGGGCTAATTAGCATTTTTACAGTAATGCAGTCTATCTGCACTAGACTGGTAAAATTCATCTGGTCTTCTGACCACCTAATAAGCTCAATTCGTGTCGGGGTTTTGAATGAGGGGGGGAAGTCGGGTAAATGTTGCAAATTGCAAGTCCTGATTCAGCTCTCAGATCCAGATTGCACAAGAAGTTTCTAACCAAGTTTTAAATAGGGCATGTTGAGTAACTTATTTTGTCTCAGCACATTTACAACCCCTTCCATCTCAACCCATTCTTGAAAATCTTTCTAAAGTGTTTTCCTTTACGTAGAAGTAGACTGCTGAACATGGTTTATTCTGTGCCAGCACAAGGTGGTTCCTTCCCCATGGTTGTGCACGTCGGTTATTTTAAGGTGCGATAGGAAGGGTGTGGGCGTCAGGGAGAGGTGCGCTCGCTGTGGCCGGCTGTGGGCGGGGAGCACTGTGAGGTCACGCAGAAGTGGTCGCATGGGGCCCGATGGCGCATCAGATACTGGCTTTGACGTTCATAGGCAGCGGATATTTTGAGCAAGGGGGTGACGTAAGAACTGTGCTTCAAGAAGTGGTGTTAACGTTGATCGCACTGGGGAGGAACTCGTCAAAGGATCTCTGACAAGAGCCCCCCAACAGGTTAACCAGAGTGAGCGTGGGAAGGAGGGAGTTGGGGGAGATTTTGAGATGATAGAGCAGAGGGAACTTGGTGACTGGTTGTTGAGGAGGGTGACGGAGGAATCAGAGACGCCCCTAGGCCTGAGTCTGGCAGATGGGGAAGATGAGGGTCACTGGGGATGAGCAGACCAGGTGACGATAGAAACTTTTGGAATCCGTCCAAGTCCCACCCCTTCTCTTCACCCGTGTTGGACTTTGGGGTCAGTGAGCCTCTCGAAGCCTCAGTTTCCAGATCTCTGAGCAAGGGGGAATCTCCTCCACTGACGTTAGGCCAAACTCTCTCATGTGGAAAGTAACATTTAACAACCACTACGGCTGCTGCTGGACCTTGACGTAGACCATTCTGCTCAGCAATATCCCGCTCCTTGTTTTGTTCCAGGGAAAGCGATTTTCTTTCCAGGCCTGTGGAGCTCATTCAGATTGAATAACATGCTTCCTCATTAGGGCACCACAAACGTGGAACCGAAGGGAATATCCCGCAGGCTATCCCTGGAACGCACGGTGAGGGCAGGCTCCTCGCAGCAGGTGGACCTGTTTGAGCTCTGGTTGGCCGTAGCTGTTGTTAGGCCGATTCCATTTTAAGCGAAATTAGAAAGTCAATATGAACTGGTTATACTAGAATGCCTTCTTTAAAAAAAAAAAAATTATCTCTCCTGTTTCATCTTCATTTCGCTATTTCAAGCTGTGGTAGAAATATGCAACTTTGTGTTAAATTTAGTAGAAATGCCATAAAAGTGCACTGTTGATTTATATGTGGTTCTCAGATATTGTCTAAGAACGAAGGAGAGAATCTGTACCTCAAAAGAGAAATGCCTGTTAAAGAGCTTTCTGCTGTGGAATTGGTGGTCTCTGCAAATCAGTGATTTTGGCCTTCGTCCAATTTTTCAAATCTTTAGAGGATTTTAATTAAGTGCTATTCTGTAGATGAGATGAATTGTGGCGGTGGAACAGTAAATAACCTCTCCACAGTGCTGTCCCTGGGCAGTTCCCTGCACGGTGCAGAGGCCCCCAGTGGTGAGCTCAGGGGCCCGGCAGCACCCCCCCACTCCGCCTCCGCTTTCAGGGTTCCAGATGAGTCAAGACAAGCGCTGGCTTGGGAAAAAGGAAGCACCACTTCTGCCAACCTCCTGGAGACTGCTTCTATTTTGGCCTATTCTGTGCTCCCTCAATTCATTCGTGGAGAATATGTTTGAGAATGGGGGCGGGGTGGGGGAGAAAGCCTTAACAGTGGACAGAAACAGTGAGCACAGCATTTGCTGGAAGTTGGCTGCTGCAGACGCGCAATCTGCCTTCCCCATCCGTGGATCTCGCATGCCATCCTGCAGTTGGCATCGCGGCTGCCAGGAACCACCCCTCCTTCTCCCTGAAGGCCGGGAGAGAGGTATTCTAGCAGTGTTCACTCTTTCTGCCTCATAGCCTGGAGTTTCTTCTTCCCACATCCGACGCATTCATCTGGGCCGCGTTAGGACCACAGAGATGTTAGAATCAAAGAATCTTAGAAGTGGGAGGGGCCCCCACTTCAAGGGAATTGTTCAAAGAAAAATGCATGTAGTCTTCCTGGATTAGGCCACTAGTAACAGTGGGTAAAGGTCACATGTATTCTGAAAAATGAGGATCACTCAGGAAACCTGCTTTTACTCAGCCCAGCCCTCTCCCTTTTGTCCCTTTTAAGGCTACTGATAACTACTAATCTGATAAACAAAGGTTTATTTGGAATCCCTCCCGGGGACATATTTGCATTTTAAAAGGAGATAATTCCCTAACTGTTTAGAAAGAAGGCAGTCCAAGGAGGAGATTGTTAAATGGCAAAGGTGTGAGAAGTAGGGCATGGGTGTTGAAAGAACTCCGGGTCTGGGAAATCCTCGGTTCAAATCCTGATCCACCCTCACTGGCTGTGTGACCCTGGCACTTCTCCAAGCCAGTTCCTCGTCAGTAAAATAGCACAACACTCAGCATAGTAAGTATTAGCACTCAAGCCGGTCGTAAGTTTTCCTTCCAAGTCTCCCTTCCTAGGACCTCCTTCACCACCACAGGTAAGGCCAACCATAGGTCTGCTGTCAAATTACCAACGTAATTGTTTCTGTATCTGGTTTAGTTGTAAAATGTTCTCATCTTGGGGTTTCTAGAAACATTTATTTATTTATTGTGAAATATATACAGAAAAGTTCATGAAACAGATATGTACCAGTTAGTTAGCAAATAGTTATAAATGTGTCACCCACATTACCACTACCCAGGTCAAGAAAGACAAATACTGCTTTAAAGTGGATATAAGGCAGTGGGGGGAGGGGGAATGCTGCTAAACACAAGCACCAATACCCTC